TCTTTGTCTTGTGGAAATTATTGTGAATGTGAATGTGAATTGCTTGCTTAGGCTGCAAATTATCACCCTGGGGATGCTTCAGGGTGGACACTTCATATATGCAGTTGCCTTAAGCCACAAGCAGAGTTAGTTTATTTTAATTGAATCCTTTGGCGCCCAAACCCAAACCTTTGTTCATTAGCGAGCTTAATCCTGACGCAAATACCTAATAAGAGAAAGCTCTTCTCCTGAAGTCCCTTTAATTTCTAAAATGTACCAAATCTCTGAAACTGTTGGTAGTGATGTCGAATATGAGGTAAGTGATACAGACTCTTAATGTATCTGCTTTGAGCTGTGACCTGTACCATTGAGATTCAAGAATGTGAGTCACCTGATGTGTGCTCCGCATCCTAGCCTCGTGTTGCTAAATGTTGCCCAGCTGATCACAAAGGATGGTGATGTTGAACTTGAAGAAAGTCCATCACATTCACAGCCAAGAATATCATAAAAGTTATTTAACCTCACTGAAGGTTGCAGCAGTAGCTTCAAGAGAGGCGGTCATCCTTGGGTTCATTTGGCAGCCATGCTAAACTGCTTTGATTAAATGCTGCTTTCCTGTTTACACTGTTTGGCAGTCATGTTAAACTACATTGATCAAGTGCTTTTTTTCTGACTATATTGTTGATCAAATCATGGCTCGGGAATTGGAAAACTAAGAAGCTTAGAAGATGCACATATATAGAAGGCAGAGTTCCCTGAAAGAGTAACAGATTTGTTGAAGTTAGTGTAATTTTTTCTCCTACTATTAGAATCATCCCCTAGCTAAATTCTGTTTGAATCAAGCTTTATTTCATTTATTTTTTCAGATAAATCCACCTTTGCATTGTTGCATAATTTGCTAAGTAGTTGTTATTTTCAAGGTGCCATCTTTTATCATGTGTAGAGCTCAGGAGTCAGGACTATACAGGATCCTGTCCAAAATGTTTTGTCCCAATCCCTACTCAGGTGTTCCACCTTCTTTCTTGTGCAGAGGATGCGTCTGAGTGTATCTAGAATATGCCGGGATACGATCAATCCCAGATTCCCTTGCGCTCACATTCATATCTTTCGGTTCATTGCAGTTAAGTTTTTGTCTAATTTTCTTCTTTCCTTTCCCTTATTATTGCCTAGAATAGCCCCCTGATAAACATAGTATTTTGGCAGCTACTGATAGGCTTTATCTTTGAGGCCTGCCACATTGATATGCCGAGAGGTAATGAAATCCTAATCCCCGTAAAACAAAAGACAAAAAAGGTACTCCCTCCGTCCCATTATTATTGTCCAGTTTTGGGTTTTCATTTCTAATTCAAATTAAACTAAAAGTGAAATCTCAAACTAAAACAATAATTTTGGGACAGATACGAGGCTAAAATTGTTGATGTTTAATCTTTTGCTGTCTGAATTTATACAGGTTTGAAGCTATGGGCTGATATATTTGATGTTTGGGAGCTCTTCGTCTTTGTGTTCCTCTTTATCTTGTATGTGGTAGGATAGGACTTTATCGTGACGCCTGACATCAGATTTCAGCTCCCTCTCTGGTGGACTTGGACTGTTATTAGCTGTTCTTTGTCTAAATGTTTTGACGAATCTTTAACCCGTTTGGAGTTGTAAACTCGTATCCTCCATCAGTTTTGCGACTTCTGCTGTATTATTCTGCTCTGGGGTTTTGTGTAAGTTTTTCATTCCTCCCTTTACGTTTTCACCACTTTGAAGTTTCGACATACATATATATAAGTATTTCATTTTTTGGACGAAATACGAAATAAGCGTTTTAAAATATATGGACGAAAATAATTTTTTACTCAAATGTATGGGACGATTTGAATGATCAAACCATAGAAATTTATGGGAGTCAACAAGAATTTTTGCTTTCAGGAAATTTTTGTTTTTGAAGTAATTTTAGAACGAAAAAACTTAAAATGATATTCATACATCGACCAAGCAAAAATGTCATGTAGATTGACCAAATCAAAATTCAAAAACATCTTCAAACTGGAAGAAGTACACACATTCACGTTTTTTTACTTTTTTTTTTTTAAAAAAAAAAAACTATCAATGGGTTTTTTAAGGGTACACTTCCTAGATCAGCAGTCAACAAGAAGCCTACAACAACCCAATTGAGTTGGTACTTGTGTGCCAATTTACAAGAAGCTGCCCAAGAAGCAAGGAATGCATGGGAACCAAACTGTTGACTGTTGTCCCGCAATTTTTTAAAGAGTAACATACATGATGTTAAGAGCAAATTTTTGGAAAATTTAATTACTTGCGATTTAGGCTGGTATATTATGCCGATCACAACGAGTTAAACACACAAAAATAAGAAAAAAAAATGACGAGAATTAATGTACGATAATGATCAGTGTTCTTCTTCATGATCGATACATGCATGATAAACTAATTAATCAGTCCATAATTAAGTTCCAACTGGTTAATTAATATTACGATTCCTGAATATATTTTGCATGGCTGCAATTTTGATTCTCCGGGCTGATGTTTCTAGACGACGAGTGGACGGGAGAAAGAAGTGTTCAATTCCCCATGTCAAGGAATAAGCAGCAAAGTGTGCCGCGAACACCAGAGCAATTCTAAGCATCTTGATTTTCAGTTGAATATTGCATTAAAAAAAAAAAAAGGAGAAAAATAATGTGGGAGATATATTTGTTTCCAAATGCTGGCCAAAAGTCACTTTCAAAGATTTTCTTTCCTTTCTAGAAATTGTTTGAGTGAGGTTTAATTGTGTTACAATATAATATAATAGAGGCCAGTGATATTGCCAGAGTAATAATTAGCCTCCAGAGCAACAATTAGCATGTTTGCCCCATTTACCCTTCTAAGAGTCAAAGCTAATTTCATCCCTTCCCTGCCCAACCAGACTTCATTCTTGTTGATTATGGCTAGATTCGTCATCTGCCTCGAATCAGATTGCAGCAATTCCAACATACTCAAAAGACAAAACTAACACAGATGCTCTAGGAATCGCCATACTCCTCATCTGAAAGATTATTTTTATATCTACTTCTTTACCGGCTTTGTTTTATGAATTTCTCTCCAAAAGTAAATTGTTGAACAATCAAAATTATTATCTTTATACATTGAGGAAAACCAAAAAGCTTAATTGTTGTTTATTGTTCTTGTTATTGTATCTCTTTCCTCATAAAACTGAATGAATTCATATCTCCTCCCTATTTTTTGATAATCACTGCGAGAGACTCTATGATGATTTTAAAATGTTAAAAGTCTTAAAGTCTTTAAGTAATGGTTTCTGCCCCCATCCATCTATTTCATAATGTGATTTTATGAATAATTTCTCCAATTTACTTTTTTCAAGGAAAAAAAAATAGAAAGTTAATTCTCTGCCATATATCATGACTGGGGACTCCTGGTTAGAGTTTAACAAAAGATCAGGAAAGATGCCGCTTTGAGCAATCTCATCGTTCTAAGGAATTTGGTAGTGGTTATTTAGCAATCTACATCATATATTTATCACCTCCATACCCAAAAACAACAGGATTGAGTTTATAGAAGATTTTGGTATCTAAATAATACCGCTAAATCAAGTTTACTCTCAAAACAATGCTTGATAGTCGGTTATTGTGAAAGTGGAGGGGGCAGAAAATTGATTGAGATTTGGAGAAGGAAGCCATAAACTCGAGAGAAAGAAAACTGATGGGGGGAAATAAAAGAATGGAGAATATTAGTTTGACCAAGTTAAGGGTAGCTAAGTAAAAAATAATAAATTTTTGCTTTGCCAGTATTATCATTATCAGCCTAATATAATATAAATCCACTTGTGTTGAGGATAAAATCTTTGGGGAAGAAATCTAAACGGAATTCGAATGGAGACCCAATAACTAAGGAGAGATTCAACTTGGACTCAAAAACTTAAGTCAATGAGTCATGGGTAATCTCCATTCCTTCCAAACGCTGATGTGGGACTCTTAAGTTGTTACATGACCTCAAAAATCTCCCCCAACGTGAACAATCTCTCCCATCATGAATAATATTCATATCAATGTTCCAAATTACCTCACCAGCCCCATTGGGCCACCGCTCACACTACGCAGTCTCATATGTATGTGGGGAATTGGTTGTTTCCCGCTCAATCAAAACGAGGTAAATTTACCCAATTCAGCACAACACGCAATACTTTGGTCTCGACTATTGTGTCCAATCCTAAGTTCGACATGAACTCTGATACCAGTTGTTAGGGATAAAGCCTTGGAGGAGAAATCCAAACAAAAGCTAAATGGAGGCTTAATAAGTGACCCAACTTAGACTCAAAAGTTTAAATCAATGAATCCCCTCGGTTTTTCCCATTTAGAAGGTGATCTCCATTCCTTTCAAAGGCCGATGTAAGTCTCCTAACTTACTAGATGACCTCAACAACTAGTAACAAGTTTTTGCTCGACAAAATTTAGACTTTTGGTTCGTTTCCTCGCATATATAGGTTCATTCTTTTAAGTACAAAAAGGGATTTTAAAGAAACAAAAAAAAAAAACAAAAAAAAAGAGAGAGAGAGAGAGGAGGAGGAATATGGATTTTGGGGATTGGGAATGTAAATTTTTTTTTTAAAAAAAAAGAAAATGGATGTTCATGAAAGAGTTCCCTTTTAGTCTCAGTGGGTCAAATTTGTTTGGGCCTTCAGTTTCATTTCAACCTAGGAAAAGGCCGAAAAAGACCTCAAACCTTCATTTTCTTCTTCCTTATACTGGCGATGGATTTTGTTTTGGGACTTGGGAGAGAAGTGCCCCAAAATATATATCCTCTACATTTGGCAGAACAATGATTTGATCCTTCTCAAAAAAGTGCTAGAGTTTTATTATTAGCCTTCTTTGTGGCGCCTGCTAGTGCTAGGTAGAACAGATACATTGGAGAGTTGGAAATGATAATCAGCAGGTTTTTAGGGCTTTAATTATTCATCGCACACATGACTCCTCAATTACGAACTCAAAAATTTCTGAAGAGAACAACATCAATCATTTTGGGACGGAGAGAGTAGTATTTTTTTTTTGTATCTTGCAAGTATAATGTTTTTAGTTCAGTTAAGTCTTGTTAGGATTTTACAACTCAGTTGAGTATAAATAACGACACAGCCAAGATCAATGACCACTTTTTTCTGAAAAAAAACGAATCTTGAATTTGAATGTGCAACTCAAAATATTATAGTGGCACTTATTGCAGATCTGCAGACTCCATTTACAAGCTTATACAAAAATAAAACTACAAAATTGTGCACAGCTTTACAACAAACAACAACAAAAAGAAAAGGCATTGAACTAAAATTATGGTGAAGAACCCCATAGAACTTCAGCAATAATAGTAGCAGCTTCAGCATCAGAAATGGAGGCTTCCCTGATCCTCTTCAAGATCTCCTGCTTAAATGCCCTTTTCTCTCTTTGCCTCAATCCTTCCCCAATCTCCAACTGGACTGCAAATCTTGCTACACAGCTTGCAAATGGATTACCCTCTAAAACACTAATTTTTCTCCTTCTCCTATTCTTTTCTACCCCAACAAATTCATCAGATTTCCCCTGTTCTAAATCACTTAATTCTGACCTCTGCAAATAAACCAGCTTCTTGATAAGCCCTCCGTTTAACATTGCTTCAATGGCTTCTTTCCTTCCATAATATCCAACTTCCATTAAGCAATCAACTGCCATGATTTTGGTTGCCATATCAGCTGAATCCAGTGCATTGATTATCTTATTGATTCCTCCACATGACTCCAATTCGTCCACTAAAGGGCTTTTGATGGCTTTTATCAGCGATTTCAGAACTTCCAAAGCGCAGAAAGATCCAATTGATACCAACGCTTTTATGATTTGTCCCACACGAATCTCCCCAATAAAAACATCTTTGTTAAAAAGCACCACTTCTTTCAAACTATAAGCAACCATTTCCCGAACCCTTTTCGAAACATCGGTTCTGCAGAGCAAAGATTCCAATTCGGAAATTAATCTCGACTTTAACAATGTGTTCTGCAAATCAATGTCAAAACCCAGAGCCAATCTGTTCCTGAGTTGACTCAGCTGAGTCAACAGACTTTCCTCATCCGACCATTCTTCCAAGGTTTTAGTAAGATTAGCTACGTTTTCTCGATCGATCCAAGCTTGAATTTCCGACTCGATCGAGTTGGCAACCCGGGAGATCTCCTGGGCTCTGACCCGGTTCGCGAGAAACGATCTCAAACCGGTTCTGGGCTTGGAAATTTCTTGGGTCTGGATCAAATTTTTGAGGTCGGAGAGATGAGACGAGAGGCCGGAAAGCTGCCGGTCGGAAGAAAGAATCGATTTTGACAGGAATTCAAGGTCCAGTAAAGCTTTAATGGAAGAATTAGAGGAATCTGTGGTGGAACTGGTTCTCTGTAATTGGTGAGATGCTTCTTTAAGGGCTCCAAGTACTTTCAGAACTTGATGATTATGGGAAGCATCTTCAGAAGCTACTCCATCACCACCCATGGAAGATTGCAAGAAACAGAGACTAAAAAAACCAGAAATTCTTTATCTGTGAAAAAGAGTATGATTCAGGTGGAAAAGGAAAAGACGTATTTGGTATGTGGTGGGCAATGGGGTAGAAGAAATTAGGGTAAAAAGGAATGGAAACAATTGGACTGGCAGAGGATTTAAATCAACGATGAAGAAATTCAACGACCAGTCTAGATTAATTTTTCGTGTTCAAGTTTGACTGTGGGTTGTGGTCTCCTGATTGGTGGATTAATTGATGACCACTAATCAGTTGTGCTATTTATATAAACGCTCTCATCTATTACCTTCAATCAAAATGTTTGTGGCTACTTGTTCAAAAGAAAAAATATTTGTGGCTGTCATTCTCGGATTCATTAATTTATTATGCGAGTAACGATAGACACGGTGAATAAAATAGTTTGGTTATTTACGTGTTACACATATATGAAAATGCAAAATTAAATAACTCCATTATTATATGGGAGTTGAGCTAACATACGAATAACTTTTTTTGGTTTATCTTTTATATCGATGGTAACTCATATTTTGAAAAAAAGGAGGCAAATAGCAAGTGCAGAATTTGCACATTAAAATCAAGTTGGATTTTATAATGGAGAAATACCTGCGATGTAGCACATGGCTTCTGAGGTTTAATGTACCTAAAAGGATGGAAAAGGGACTTAAAAAAAATAGGATCTCGAGGAGGTTTTTTGGCAATAGAAAATAGAGAAATGGGTTTGTTTATCTCTACCAAAAACGTTGTGTACGTTTGTGTTTCCTTAACTTTTGGCCCCTTTTTAGTTTTTTTTCTCCCAATTGAAAAGGTAGAAGCTTTGAATATTCAGCGGCAGCGGCACAGAAACTGTGACTTAAAAACACGTTCAAACGCTACATGAAGGATGGGGAGAGAGCCACCCAAAAATCAAATCACGTTGTCATTTTGATCATGATACATTAAATATCAAGCGAAAATTAAAATGCTTAAAACACAGAGTTTGGTCTTAACAAAACGATACTTCCTCGTCCAAACCATAAATATTGTTGTGAACTAAAACAAAAAAAAAATATATATATATATATATGACTCTGTTTTTTTGCAACAGGTAGTTCTTCTGTTCCAAAATTATCACCGTGTTTGAATTTTCTATGTTTAGTTTAATTTTTTTATTAAAAATAAAAATTTAAATTGAACAATAATTTTTGAACAGATAATATATTATTTCATTTCGATGATGGATGTCAATTGTACACTGTGATCTACAATACATGGAAGCAGTTGAGAAGCAAATAATCAGTGCTCAAGTCATTAGTCAAACAACAAGCAAGAATCCAAAATTGCTACCTCCTCCGGACGAAAATGAAAGAGAAGAAAATGTGGCATATTCCAATAGAACAAAAAGTATCCATCTTAACTCTTTTTTTGTGGTTATTATCTCGGTCAGAATTAAATGCGGTTGATAAATGGATATTACACGAAATGTCAATGCACCCATCTTTTTGTTATTGTTTTATTATAGAGTACTCCTTCCATCTCAAAATATAAGTTATTTTAGATTTTACATGTATGTTAAGGAAATAATCATCTAACAATTAATTTATGTGTTAAATATTTATTTTACCCCTCATTAATTATATTAAAACTATAAATAAAACTAAATAAAAATGTATTAGCATCATTTATTAAGGGTAAAGTTGGAAAAATAATCATTAATTTGCCTAGAATTTGTAAAATGACATATATTTTGAAAAATCTCTCCAAATCTAAAACGACCTATAAATTGAAATGAGGGAATACCGTTATAACTTTTATCTTCTTTTTTTTCGTTATCAGAAAAGTCAGCACAATATTCATTTTTAATAGACGAATGGAAAAATTGGATACGTATATATCACCATCAATATTCCACTTGGACCTCTCTCGATTGATTTCCCTTCTTTTACTCTTTGCCCTTTTGGTGTACGATTCTTCTCATCTTAGGAAGGGTAGCCATTTTCTCCCCCTTTTTTTTTTTTTTTTCGGTATAAGATTGGACTTTATTGGGCAAACTACATTTTACCCCTCGAGTTATGACAGTTCTACCATGTCACCCTCGAGTTATCGTAAAACTACCAAAACCCCCTATAATGCGAGAAAATGAAACTATTCGATGAAACAGTCAAAAGGGAATTAGTTATTTTTGTATTTAGGAAGTGTAACTTATTTTCACCGTCTCTATTATTTTACTTTATTTTTTTCTGGTACTACTTTCCTTTTTCTTCTGTTTTTCCTCCTTTTCAATGTATATATCCATTAATCTTCTTGAATAATCAACTCGATATCATGGGAAGTGCCAAAAAGGGCAAAAAGAAAATTACTATAGTAAAAGGTGTCAAGATCATGAATTTGAGGTTATGGGAATATCCCATATTCCATAGTTTAATTCATCTTGCAAATTGCCAAATTGGATTAGTTTACTATAGTATTAATAAGACGCAAAGAGTTACTCTTCTTGTAAAGCTGTACAAAAAGTTAAAAATCCCCTTTAAAGAAAGTGAATTATTTGTTTCGACGCAAAACAGAAAATAATAATGATAGTAATAATAATCACTATATTTTGATTAGTTCTACAATTTTTAATTTTATTAAGGCAACGGCTAGTGGTATGGTGGTATAGCAGAAGCAGAGGAGCAGGAGCCCCATAATTATGAACCAAAAAATAAAAAGTAAAAATTACGTGGCTATTGATTGACTTTGACCCTACACACAGTCACACACTGGCACCATCAAATTCATCAATGCGTTCGTAAAAATAATGATTGTGTCCTTGATGATGTGCCAGCCACTGGCATTCTTTCTTGCATCTCCTTAATCTCTTTTTTTTTTTTCTTTTTCAAATATATATATATATTAACCGCGTAAGCGTAATAAACTAAATCACAGAAATCAAGCTGATCACGTTGTTTATGTACACAAGTACTTTGTTCCCCCCTTAAGCAACTTCTTCGCCATTTTGGGGGGATTAATTACGAAGAAGACTACATACTTGTCTTTAAGCAATCTGGTCAGCTTGATGAAAATGGTGGCCCTTGATTCGATATCAAGTTTAATTTTTTTAGTCAAAAGGGAAAATGGACATAAATCCAAAAACCAAAAACTTAGAGAACGTTTTAGTTTATGGAATGTTGGCATCGAAGACAGAGAAAACTTTGATGTAAAGGGAATGCGAGGGAGGACCAATGTTCTCTGTAATTGCAAGTGATGTCCCAAAATTATTGTACATATTAGGTTTTTATTTTTTTAGTATAATTTGTATTAAAAGTTAAATTTTAAACTAGACAATAATTTTATAAAGGAATACTTATAATTTTTGAGCTTAGGAATGAACAACAGTTACAAGAAATATTACTTCTTCCCTTCCACATTTATAAATAACAATTCAATTTGTTAAATATATAAGGTCTTGTATGGATGATGATTTATTTTAGTTTTTGGTTTGAGTTTGAAATATGATTCAAAATGTATTTTTAGAGAAAATTTAAAAATTTATTTGGATAATATAAGTTTGATGCTCTTTGATCTTTCATCTCAAAAAAAAAAAAAAAAAAATTAATCATGTTATTATACTATTTGATTTTAATTGAACAAAATAACTTTTCTTTTTTAATGGAGGGAAACTGAAGATGAGTGTGGGACGGGTTGGGGTTTTATGGCGCAAAATGACACAAGTTTGGCGTCTGGAATGCTGCCATGTAAGGAAAGGGTTCACTATATACGTTCCACATTGTCCGAAGGTTGGACAATGATTGAAGTGTACGTTAATGGCATCTTAATTTCTGTCCAAACCTTAATCATGTGGTTTTACACTCTGGTAATTTCTTTCTATACGTATGGAAGGAAAATCGTCCAAGGTTCTATTCGGGAGAGGGGGAAGAGAAAAGAAAAAAAATGAAAGATTATATAAAAAGAGAATGATAATAATATTCCTTTCGGTCCTTAATATAAGACATTTTGATTAGTCATAGTTTTCTTTCACCTAGTATGCATTTTTATTTGATAAAAAAATTTTAAAAATATATTTTCGCATTCGTTATGTTCTCTTGATTATTATGAAATGTTTTTGATTTTTTTTTGTTAATTAAAAATGCTTATTAAGTGAAACCTATAACAAATAAAAATGTCTTATATTAACGACGGGAGAGTGAAATCATAGCATTTCAAGCCTTCAATCTTTGGAAGGATTTATCATTATGTATATTCATCCACTTACAAGTTGACCCCCAAAATTCTATAAGAGAGTAACTAATAAATTCTACTACACGAGTCAGGTAAATCGTGACAAACTTGCTCCAGGATTAAGGTAAATTTTGCCAATTACAGTATGGATGTGGGAATTGAGCCCTCCAAAATTAAGCAAATTTGTTTTAAATTACTCAGTATACGATCTTTTGTCACGATTCATATCTACACAAAATCTCGTAAATGAGCAAAGGGTTTAGACTTTAGACCAGTTAGTCAACTTTATGAACTCGAGTGAAGGTCCACTTTAGATGCAGCATTATAAGTTAGTGATTTTTCATTTTTAAATTAATTATATAAAAAATAATTGGACCAGAATCATTAATGTTTAGACATTGGAAACTTGTGGACCAACCAAACTTTAATAAATCCTAAATTCAGGTATACAAAAAAGTTCATAATCAGTATTAAATTGTTAATTTGGATTCCTTAATAACTTGATTAATCTCAACCGATTCATCAAACTGTGTTTGCCTTTTCCGGGGAAACTAATTAATTAACTATAAGTGGCTAATTGCGGTAAGATCTCAAAATGGCTGACAAAAAACACTTTACGACAAGTGACAACAGAATCAATCATCATAGTAGAAACGTAACGTAGTACAATGGAATCTATGGGCTTCCATCATTTTGCAGAGAGGATCACTCGCTCTGGGCCTATGGCGTTTCGCCACGCGCCAAAATTATCCGCCATTGAAGCTCCTTTCAATCACCCTCAACAATCCTTACTTCTTCCCCCCCACCAGTGGTGACTGACACTCTACGACATGCGTCCAACCTAAAAACGACAGACCAGCCGACCCACTTGCCACCCGACCCATCATTAATCCGGTTGGCCATTTTTCTTCTTCAATAAATAATCCCCCAACTGCCCACATATCCTTTGATCAAAAAGCTTTCTTTGTTATCCTCCTCCCTCTCGCAGTCTCTCCTTCTCCTTGATTCATTTGAGGTAAAAAGTTTCATTCTTTATTCTCGTTTTTGTTCTTCTGGTATTCAAAGATTAACTTATCGGTGCATGTAATTATGTTTATCACCCTTTCCTCTGAATCTTTAATCCAATTGAACAGTATCTTCTTTGAACTCTTCTTTGATATGATAATGAGGTTTTGGGATGGAAGAAAAAACGAATGCTTTTTTGTTGGGTTTTTGAATCAGGGTTGCTGCTGATTTTAGCTCTTTGTTTGCCTGTGTAAAGAATAATTTTTGAATTTTTGATAATTTGATTTTGTTATGTTGGGTGAATAATGCAGGACAGGGTAGGGGAAGTGATAAAATGTGGTGCCGGCTGTTGTTGTCTTTGTCTGTTTTGTTTAGCTTCGTACACCATGGGACTGCTGGCGTGACCAGTGATTATACTCGTTCTGTGTGGCCATCTGTTGATATTCCTCTCGAGAATGAGGCTTTTGCTGTTCCAAAGGGCTCTAATGCTCCTCAGCAAGTAAGCTTTTTGATTGTTCTCCCTCAAAATTTTCTGTTATACTGTTACTTCTTGTGTTATGAGATGTGTAATTAGCAGCTACTTGATGAGACCGCTAAAATCATGGAAGTGCGGAGAGTTCATAATTGATGCTTTTGCTTAGAAGTTGATCATATATATCATCTTGTGTTCTTTCTCTGACAAGAAGATATAAAATTGCACCTCATTTACCATTCCGTAGGCGATAGGAAGAGCCTGTCATGAGAATAGGAAGAAGATTGGAATCCAAAGATTGATCATTTTCATTTATTTTGAAATTTTAATGAACCGTATGCATCAAAAGGTGCAGTCATGGTTTATAGACAACGCCCTTGGAACCTATTTAACCAACACTTCCGGAAAAAAAGATTACTCTTTTTGGGAAAACAGTTTACAGTGAAATCTCAAATGAACTTATTATGATACATCTCAGCATGGAGATGATAATGCCAAATGTATCTTGTGGTTTATGGCTTTCTCTGGAGTTATTTTCCAGAAGATTGTTCCAATGGGTTGTTTAACTGATTTGTGTAGTTCATACATATTTGAGATACTTTTGTATGTATAGCGTTGGTCGAATTATTTATGAGAGGATTCTCTGAGGTTGAAATCTACTTAGTGATTATCATTATTACATAGCACCGACTAGGATCTTGCTGTTGTAGGTGCATATTACTCAGGGTGACTATGATGGGAAGGCAGTTATAGTATCATGGGTGACGCCTGATGAACCTGGATCCAGCCAAGTGCATTATGGCTTGTCAGATGGAAACTATGAATTTAAAGCAGACGGCACCGTCAAAAACTACACATTTTACAATTACAAATCTGGCTACATCCATGAGTGTCTTGTTGATGGACTTGAGGTATGACATTTACACAAAGTAATTGCGAACTAGCAATCTAGCATTATATTTGAGCACGAGTGCCTCTGATTATTTAGTCCCAGAACATAGTTAAACTTTCATTTATTTTTATTTTTTTTCAAAATTAGTTGCTCAGTTTGTGCACTTTCTTTTTTCTTGTGTAGTATAATACAAAGTACTTCTATAAGATTGGAGATGGTGATTCTGCCAGGAAGTTTTGGTTCCAAACACCCCCAAAAATTGATCCTGATTCATCTTACAAATTTGGTATTATAGGTATGTTTATTACTTGTTGCTACAATCTCTGAAATTTCAGTTGATTTCCTCCATTACAAAGAAAACAAAATACATAACTCTTAAAGGTGCTTTTTGCTAATGCTTTGCGAAAATACTCTGGACAAGTATTGTTTGTGTAGTTTCCTGAGAACAGTGCCCATTTCCTCCTGTTATTTCAGGTGATCTTGGTCAGACATTTAATTCTCTTTCCACCATTGAGCACTATAAGCAGAGTGGAGGAGAAACTGTGCTCTTTGTGGGAGATCTTTCTTATGCTGATAGATATCAGTATCACGATGTTGGCGTGCGTTGGGATACATGGGGCCGATTTGTTGAGCAGGTTGCTGCATATCAGCCATGGATTTGGTCTGCCGGGAATCATGAAATTGAGTACTTCCCGTACATGGTAAATATTGCATTGACACACTTTTGACCACATGCCATCCTTCATGATATATTCTTGTCTTTCTGTGAAATTCACAGTCCGGTCTTCAGTTTATTGTCCAGTTGTTCTTTATGTCAATTTTCAATAGCGCTGCACAAGTAGGTATAATAATTTATGCAGAGGCTAGGCTTTACCAATAAAATGAAGATTTCAAAGAAGATTGAGTTTAATATGCAGCGTTATATATTTTTAATTTTCCATTTCACTACTGATTTCTGCTTTGTTCTCTTGTCTTCTCAGGGGGAAGTTATTCCATTCAGATCATATCTACAACGGTATCCGACACCTTATTTGGCCTCCAAAAGCAGTAGTCCTCTTTGGTACGCTATTAGGCGTGCATCAGCCCACATCATCGTCCTATCTAGTTATTCTCCTTTTGGTAATATACACTTCTCCGGTTCACCTTTATTGGCCCTGTCTTATGTTTACATCTGTGTTCATTTCCACTAGCATTAGTACTAACTGTATGTAGATATGTTTGTGGCCTGCTTATTTCGAGCGTCTACAACTTCAAAAATTTTTCATGGATAGACTACATGATTCCCTTGCTAAGGTTCGTAGTGATGCTACTTCATTAGTTACAGGGTTCAATCTGTTACTTCTTTGGATGACAATACCTCAGATATGAACTTATTTAATTAGATAAAATGGAGCTGAACCATTAGGATTGTGATGTTGAATCCGTTATTGCTTAACTCTAGTATTTTTAATCCTTTCTATTTCTATTTACTTATACCATATGTGATATCAGCATCATTGACCATCTTCGCACATTGGTAAATTTCTTAGTGAAGTTTATTTTTTGTCACAGTTAAATATACACCACAGTGGAGGTGGCTTGCAGAGGAGTTCAAGAGGGTTGACAGGAAGAAGACTCCTTGGCTCATTGTCCTGATGCATGCTCCTATCTACAATAGCAATGCAGCCCATTTCATGGAAGGGGAGAGCATGAGAGTAGCATTTGAGAGTTGGTTTGTCAAATATAAAGTCGATGTAGTGTTTGCTGGCCATGTGCATGCTTATGAGAGATCGGTTAGTCCTTCTTTCTCATCTTTGTTTACTGCCACATGCTGTGTTCTGTGTTTTGAGAGATGTCAAAACTATTGGAATCATATCTTTAATACATAGTCAAAGGATAAAGTACTGCAGCTGATTACAAGTGATGAGCTTAATCATATCATTTCTATCCAAGCTATTCTTACTTCTCAGATCTGAACCTACAGCTCAAAGTCCATCATTTGATACAATGATGAGAGTTGTTAGTTAAGGCAAGATGTCCAAATGGCCTTTGCCTGATGGCGGTATTGTGCTGTAGTCTTAGTTAACCTAGGGCAAACATAATGGCAGAACAGAGCTAAACCTTTCTGTTTTCTTCGGGCTGGTTGCCATGGTTCCTAGCTGTGACTGAGCTTTGGATGAATAATGAACATGAAACCTTGCACCTCCTGTTATCTGATTGTGCATCAATTTTCTCTCTTATTCTGCATGCCTCATCCTTCGTCCATTCTTCTTGGTTTATTCAATTAGAAAGACTGTCATCCTTCTCCGACTTCTGGACAGTCTCCTCGTTCATAATAAGTGTTGTCTTCCACTTTTATGTTCTCTACTTCTCCTTAGCTGAGTCAATTGTCAAATGACCGTATTATAGGTTGCTGGTATTTATTGTAGTAAGAAAATTTATAAGCATGTCCATTTCGAAGAAAATGAAAAGAATGTGATGTTTAGTTATTACAGCTCACCGAGTTTGCTTAGTCCCTTTTTGAATTTCTCTCTTATGCTGAAACTTAACATTGATATTAACATTTTCTTTCTATGTTCAGTATCGCATTTCAAACATACACTACAACGTATCAAGTGGTGATCCTTATCCTATCCCAGACAAATCAGCTCCTGTATACATAACTGTAGGTGATGGTGGAAATCAGGAAGGTCTTGCTGGAACGTAAGTCCACTTCTTCTTATTGTGGCTGAAACTTTTATGTGTTCATTTCTGTGATTTACCACCTATCCATTTTTTTGGTGAGTAGTGAAATTAATGGTGGTTATCTTCTGCAGATTTAGAGATCCCCAGCCAGACTATTCAGCTTTCCGCGAAGCAAGTTATGGACACTCTACCCTGGAGATAAAGAATAGGACGCATGCACTGTACCACTGGAATAGAAATGATGATGGAAAAAGAGTTGCAACTGATTCATTCGTATTGTATAACCAATACTGGTGAGTGGAATACACCCATCTTCCAGATTTTTCCGCATTATTATATTTTCCATATGCCGCTTGATTCTTTAGTGGCACACTGCCACTCCATAATTTTAGTGAACCACCTGAATTTTCCATTGCGTGAGTTGGATTGTAAAGATTGGTTAATGAAAGGATTCCTGGAGTAGTCGTGCAGCTATATAGACTCCAGAGTCTTTTAACATCGGGAATAGACTCTAAGACGGATTTATGCATGGCGTGAAGTTGCACAATGGCATGTAAATAATTCGTTTTGAAAGTCGTTAATGTTCTAAAGCAAGAATTATGCTGTCCACAGGGGAACCAGTAGGCGGAGGAGAAACCTGCGGAAGAACCATCTTTCCTCTGTGGTTTTAAACAAGAAAGGTCGCGAGCAGCTGTGAAAGAATCAACTTTCAAGCCTGGAGCGATTAACCCTTGTACGTAAATATACACGTGTTCATCTTTATTCGTTATTCATTCTCCCCGGGACATTATAATCACAGTACGTGGTGCCTGGGCCTTGAGATGTGGTTTAGAACAGCCTAAAAAGAGAAGCAGAAGCATGCTTATTGGGCAGAAACTGACCAAAAGGCCTCCGTTTGTGTAAAAGTTATTCTCTTCGTCCCATTTTAATAGGTTATTTTTTTTGTCGAACAAAAATTATACAACAAAGTAGACTAGTAAAATGAGACGGCGTGAGTAATCCTCTCAGAGGGAATGAACACCAGATGGCGATCCAAAGTATAGTTGCATTTAGGAGGAGTAGAGCTAAGGAAAACGGTTTAAGGTCATTCAAAAACTAGAAAAAAGAAACATCAATGGCCCATCAAGAAAACACCATGAAGCCTTTATCTCCAAAATATGATCAATTCAAATATCTTCTGCAAAAGAGAAATAAGTAAAAAAAATAAATAAATAAAATCAGTAAGGCAGGGAATAAAACCTAAGCAAAAATCTCAAGCAACATACATACACGGTGAAATTTAAATTAACGCTATTTCCGTCCAAAAATGATAGTAAAATCAAGTGTGACATAATACGTACCTTCACATATTTTACGGTATAAATTTCAACTTCACCCACCCATCCAAGGTAAGTCACGGAACTGTCAAACAGAAAGAAAAAAAGGTAACCATCCATGTTCATATGTATATAATAATTGGAGTAAAAAGGAAGAAGAAGAAGAAGAAGAGACCATGGATGATAAAACTCACCTGGAAACTTTACCAACAACATCAATCTTACGAACCCAAATTTCTGCTTCAGTGTAATGCCATCCATCCTTATCTGCACACATTAAACTCTTAATTAGCAAAATCAGGTCACATTTTTTTTTATTTTAGTAATCAAAAAATTCCAAAAAATAAAATAATTGGCCTTTAGTCATTATTAATAGGGCAGCAAATTAAAATTAATACGGGCCAGAGGACGTGTCACTATTTTGATTACAAATATCATGCGTCCATGAAATTTTTTTTGGCAGTTATGAAGGAAGCCTTAAAGTCATCGAAATACTGTGAAATGAAGATCTTCTAGTGAACTATTGTATATTTGAAGGGAATATTGTACTCCCTTCCTTCTATAATTATTGTCTACTTTGCCCAAAAAATTTTGTTCTAAAATTATTGTCCAATTTGACTTTTTATGGATCAAGTTACATATTTGTCCTTAATAAAAAACATTATCCATAAAATTTTAGTGGTTAAACAATTACTTATATAGGGGTATATCCGGTTGTTTAAGGTAAAATATAATTAAGTTTGACCAAAAATAAAATCTTTCATTTTAGTAAAATTGGACAATAATTATAGAACGGAGGGAGTAATATTTTTCTTGATATTTTTAAGGAACTCGTATGATTGAGGTTGGACTTTGTCCAAATTCCCATCCATCTCAATTTCATTTCCTAAATAATAACCTCCTCCATTGACTGTTTAATAATATTTGTGCAATGTACGCACTACATATGTCCAAAGCTGGCTGATCCGCAGCTTTACAAAATCTCATCATTCCCTTCCATTTTAGTGATTTATTTTGTCAAGTGAAAACTGTATAATAAAGTAAACTATTAAAATGGGACGAGGGAGTAATCCTTTGAAAGGGAATGAGTACCAAATGGCAATCCAAGTTGTAGTTGCATTTACGAGGAGTAGAGCTAAGGAAAAAGGTTTAAGATCATCCAAAAACTATATTACAAAAGATTTAGAAAAAAAAAAAATAGTTACACTAAAAAAACATATCAATGACCATCAAGAAAACACTATAAAGCCAGTCATCTGCAAAACATGAGCAATGCTATGTACCAATGACAATCTCTCCTGCACATGAGAAATATGTTAAAAATTTGTAAGGCAGCATATCAAAAGTAAAAATTTCAAGCAGCAACCTCAATTAATTTGTCAAATTTAAATGGCATTTTTCCGTCTCAAAAATGATAAAATCAAATATTACATAATACTCATCGTTACAAATTCTCCGGTATAACCATCCAGCCAATGTAATTGTCTTATTATTAGCTTCTTCTACATAAATAAGCCAATGTACGTATCAACGCAACCCATCCTTACCTTCGCATATTAATAGCATTCTTGTACGAAAATGTTTGCGGTGTAGAAGAAGGTCGAATGACAGTCTAAGGGGCTAAATTATTTGTGATGTAGATCTCTTTCTTTCAAACGTAATATATTTTTTTCTCACTTTTTTTTTTTTTTTGGAAATATATTGTTCTCTCAACTTTTAATGGCACATATGTACATCTCATACTGTGTTTTAAGTTTTTGAAACTAACTTAATATTTCGATTTCATGTTTGCCCATTTTTCTGCTATGCAATCGGTACTTAAAATTTACATATGCATGTAAATTATATAGATTATTTCTAACATCTCTTGACTTTTTGTTTCTTTATATATATATTTTTCATTTCATTTGTACAGTAGTACTGAATTAGTTAACTTATTAATATAATACTTCCCCCCCCCCCTTTTTCCAAAGAATACAAGAATTCCATGCATTCAAAAGGTTTTGTATGTCAAGTATAATGCTATAAAATTATGTTATTGCATAATATGCATGCATTTTGATAAGAATCAAATCAGTGTAAAATTATTAGAGAGTCACGCGAAACGCGTCTAATTTGACTTGTAACAATATATAATTTGATAGTTATTGTTACATTAGTAAAAAAAAAAAAACAATTCATGTTGGTTGAATTAATTTTAAGAGAACGGAAAAACAATTGATCGTATTAATTTTTTTTTTTTAAAAAAAAATGTTGTAGAAGATCGAGTTAATTTAATGCATCAATTTTGGGTTTCCCGAATGCTATTAATACATTGAGGAGCTAATAAGACAAGCTTATCATCAGTGCTCCAAATTAAGGGTATCTTCAGGAGTAGCTAATAAGACAAGCTTAACATCAGTTCGACATATCATCATCATTAACATAAACGAAAGAAACAGACGACCTAGAATAAATAATGTACCTTTGGCTTTGTATTTTGCCACAATTTGCGGGCAGATAAAAAAGTTTGAATGTTTCATCAAAGTAAAATGTGTATTGTTTAATTTATTTTTTCTTTTTTGATACAATTTATACTAAAAAATTTAAATATAAATCAGATAATTATTTTGAAACAGGAGAGTATTTAGATGTTGACGATGAATTAATGTTCTTCAATTTCATATGAAGATTGTAATGTCAAATTTCCGTAGCCTTGGATTTACAGGCGAAGACTAAAGGAAGTCAATCCTTCAATTCAATAGCAGTGGTAGTTAATTTGACTAGTGTCCATCATGACTGGCTCAAATAATAGGTCCGAGAATTTCCTCAAACTGTATGATGAAATTACCTCCTCCTTCTTCTTCTTCTTCTTATTATTATTATTTTTTGTAGAATAAGATTTATAAATCGAGTAATTTGTCAAAACTTTTTTTCCCAAATATACGATCTTAATACATCTTAAATGTAGCTAAATACAAACATGAGAGACTGAAAAGTTTGAAGCCAAAAATATTATAGTTCAAAACAAAATATGAATTTATAGAGTATGACTCTTATTTTAGGACGATAAGATTTTATGAAGTTGAATTATTGAATCTGCGATGGGGGGATTATTGTTTCAAGTAATTGTGACATTTCATAATCTCATAAAGTTAGTCAACAAAAATTATAAACAACCCTTGCCATGGCTAACTAGTTGAAGAGTATAAGATTAATTTCTACGTCTCCAAGATTGACCGAGACTTAAAAGGCTGCCATAAAGAAAATATCAAATTGCATTAATATGGTTATTATATAAGATTATAATAACAACATAAAAACTCTTCAACTGGAAGCAAAGTGAAATGAAGCCAATCAACATGCTAACTCTTTTTCCTTTCATCCTCCTTTTTCTTCATTCTCAAGTTATCATCTCAACTTATGTAAACAGTTCTAGTACAAAACCGCATCAGTGCACCCATAGAAACAGCCTCCTCTTGTTCCAATTCAAACGAAGTTTCGAGATCAATGAAAAAGCTTCGAAATATTATTGTGAAGTTTCTTACCCAAAGACAATCACTTGGAACAGAAGCATAGATTGTTGCATGTGGGACGGCGTAACATGCGATAAACAAACTGGTGAAATGATGGGTCTTGATCTCAGTTGTAGCCAGCTTCAAGGGATCATGAATCCTAATAGCACCCTTTTCCACCTCTCTCATCTTCAAACCCTAAACCTTGCTTACAATGATTTCTTGTCCTCCTCTATTGTCAGGGGTTTCGCGGGCCTTCGGAGTTTGATGCACCTCAACCTCTCTCTCTCTGGATTCTCAGGTTCAGTTCCCTCACAGTTGTCGCACATGTTTAATCTGATCTCCCTCGATCTCTCATCGTTTTCTCCTGGAGACATTGTAATGCCCCACATTTTTGAGCTATTGTTGACTAATTTAACTCACCTGAGACAAATTTCAATTGAAACTTCCAATGTTAAATCTATGTTTTCCCGTTATAACCTATCTGCTTCCTTACAAGTAATGAATTTTCAAGGGACGGGTGTGTTGGCAAATTGCCAGAAGAAATCTTCCAGCTTTCGAATTTGCGAGTGCTGGACTTGTCTGGCAATTATGGTTTATACGTACAACTCCCTAGAGCTATTGGAAATTTGAAGCATTTACACCAGTTGAGTCTCTCACATTGCCAATTTTCAGGGTCAACAATTCCAGAATACCTTGGAGATTCAATCTCTTTGTCCCATTTAGAACTCTCTCATTGTAACTTTTCCGGACCAATTCCTGAATCTCTTGGAAATCTCATGCAACTTAGTCACCTCGACCTTAGTTTTAACAATCTCACGGGAGAATTGCCACTGAGCCTTGGGAATCTTGGACAAATTGTTTATCTTGACATTTCTTCCAATGTTGGTGGTCTTGGAGGTCAAATCCCCAACATTTTTAGCAACATGAAAAACTTGACCTATCTAAGCCTTTGTGATAACCATTTCAGTGGTTATTTCCCGTCCTCCATTAGTGATCTGCCAAAGCTTAAAAGTTTATACTTGCATTACAATTCACTCAATGGCCCGCTACCTGCTAACATTAGCGGGCTTTCAAAGCTAATTTCACTTATATTGGCTTACAACTCCTTTAATGGAACAATACCATCTTGGGTGTTTAACCTACCTTCATTGGTCTATTTAGATATGAGCGACAATCAACTGAGTGGAGAACTCTATGAATTTCCCCATCATTATTCATTACAACAAATTCGTTTGGGGCGCAATAAGCTACATGGTCCAATTCCTAACTCAATTTCAAAACTCGTGAATTTATATGCCCTTAGTTTAGAATTTAACAACTTTAGCGGAAATGTAGAGGTTGACTTCTTTTTAAGCACTCAACAGCTTGATTCACTTGAACTTTCTTCCAATAGCCTCTCTCTCGTCAATAACCGAAATTCAACCTTGCCTTCTTCCCTAACTTCC